AACATATCATCTAAATAAATGTGAAGAGGTAAAAATAAAAAGGCCAAACTTTGGCTAAAGGACTTTTGTGAAACTGCAGCTCTTTTCCACTTGAAACAGCATTAGTGAGAACATTAGGTGACTTAAAGTCAGATCTCCAGGACCCGAGTGACAGTGGTAAAATGAAGCAATTTCTTTTTAAAACAACCCTTGTTAGGTCTTAATCTCCACAGTCCTCTCACTCTGCCGTGTCCAGGTTTTCAAAGGGAATTTTTGTATTCCACTCTCACAACCACACCAAACACCCATAACTCTGGTTTTCTCTAACATTGACTTCCTTCCCTAAATATCATACATCTTTCTGTATATTTAATGTTATTACAAAAACATTTTTGTACCAGATATAAGTGATTTTGTCACATAAACCTCCATCTCTATGAAAAACGTATCAGATCAATTTAAACACAGAGAAAATGGGGAACTTGTTTTCTAAATAGGTAGACTTGTTTAGCTGAGTGATCTCATAATGTCAGCAGTTATTCAGTGGGTATGGGCAGCTGGCTGGATCTTTGTTCACATGCTGCTACACGGCACTGCACTGTGTGTAGTACTGGAGTGATCCACTACGGAGCGCAGTAGAGAACTCAACCAGATAGAGAACTGAGTTTGTGGGAAGAACCAAAGCAAGCATGACATCAATAAAAGGGATCACTAACTGGTTCATTTTGAGACCACAACAGAAAAAAAGGCAGCAGCGGTATCGTGGATGGTGTGAAAAATTTTGTCGTTTTGTCAACTCCACCTACTGGCTGCTCGTATATTGCAGTATTTGGATATGTTGCGTTAATTCCGGGAGACGCGCACAAACAACGCTTCAAATCAATACAAGCAATGTGTGGCAGCCATTTTAAACAGGCATTTGCGTCGTTAAACAGCAAGTATCTTACTGCCATTAGTCTGCAATCAGTGAATTGTTGGTTCAGTCACAGTCTCATCCCTCTTCTTGTTACTATAGTGCCCTTAAGCTAGACACTTCACCTGCCTTGGTCCTCCCCTCAGTGTGAGTTGCTTTAGATGAAAGTGTTTAGCAAATACATAAAGATACCATAAATCCTCTAATATTAGCCTGTATTTAATTAACTGCCGGGTATCATATTTTGGCCGGTGTCGGAGTCGGCGGAGGTGAATAATGGCCGTTTTTTTATTGTGGCCGGGTGGAATGTGGTAACAAGCAAGTACGGGGGGCGGTTGTGTCATCCGTCTCACTTTTGATTTGCCAGCTATAGACCACGAGGGTAACTTTAACCGTGCGGAGAAGAAGACGAGGCGAAAATTTGATATCAAGTTCAAAGAGAACGTGCTGATTATGCTGCAGAACACTCTGGGGAGCAGTAGCAGGGGTTGTATGAACTAGTCACTAGTCGACTTCACCGCTCTATAGTGACTTTTTATGCCTGTCATCGACTAGTCGCTGTCACGTGATAATGACTGGCAAGATGCAGCCCTCAGAAAAGACAGCAGCCTGCTGTCAGCAGGTGACAAGCTCCTGCGCGTCGGGAGGCAACGCGCTGTGCCAGAGCGTCGGTACTGACACCCGCCGTAAAACGGACATTTAACCAAATTGTGACGTTAACCCTCTTGCAATTTAACATTCCCCTCACCCCCATCCTAGCCTTAACCAGCTTGCACATGCAAAGCTCTGATTGTTGACACGCTGCAGACATCTGCGTCCTGAGCACGGCCACAGTAACATTATCAAATCAGGTGTCGCCACCTCAAAAACTAATTTAACACGCGATCGTTCATGTCGGCTCATTTCCTTTTATGTTTTTTGTTTTTTTATTCTTTTATTTGTGCCTGATGCGTTTCACTGCTGTGGATCGGGGCGCATCACCTGTTTTGTCCTCGGTGACGAACCTAACTGATGTGGTCGGCACTCACTCCGCTGTTTTTGCGGTCGGTAGATCTTTTAGAACTGCAGTTCAAAGGTAACTCATGAGGTGAATATATATGAACCCAGGTAGCAGTTTTTCTTTAGGATTGAGAGGAGATGCAGGAAGATAATAAACAAGCAGGACAGAAAAATAATCACATAAAAACAAGTTAGTTTTTGCACCTGCTGGTTGCAACAAACAGACACCATTGAAGGTAATCAGAAGTGAGGAACAGAAAATGAAATAATTATTTTAATGTTTAGAGCAGCAGGAACTCTGAGAGGCTGCAGGCACATCAGTGAGTTTGCAGCCGCTGTGTAGGGGGAGGGGGGAGGGCTGAAGCAGAAACTACCGTTGTTAAAAGAAATGTGTTTAACTTTGAAAATGTGGGCGCAATTTTCATTGTCAAAAACTCCAGCGAACCATTGGTTCATTTTGCTCAAATAGAAATTGAGGCCTGCCTCTAATTCTGGTTCTCCTTCCAATAAAGGCCTGGAGCTTGATGAGCTTGAGACAAATACAGACCCGGGCCTGTATTAGAGGATTTACGGTAATTAGAGTTATACGAAAGAAAGAGTTATTCGCCTACTCTGAAACTTACAAATTAGATTTTTGGTCCTTTAGCCCATCAAGAAAAGTATAGATTATTTCCCTATCTGTGAACAAGCTATAGCTAAGTACCCTACACCCCCAGCCAGGGCTGGACTGGGACAACAATTCAGCCCGGGCATTTTGATTGGAGACCGGCCCATCACCTGGTTTTTTTGGAAAAGACATTAAGCCTTACGCTGTTTCTGACACACACCAACGTACACTTTCTTGTTGGTAATGTTTATGTATCAATCTAATAAATGTAAACCTACACCATTCTTCCTATCCTGGTATTCTAAAAAGTAGGGTTGGGGGTAAATGATTATTTTTAAAACGATTATTCTGACGATTATTTTATCGAATAGTCGACTATTCTAATGACTATTTAGATGATTAATCTAGTGATTATTTTTCTATTGCACAAAAACCAAAAAATCTCAAATAAATTCCTCCAAAAAATTGATAAGTTACTGTAAGAGAATAAACACTACAGGCCTTCCATTTTGTATAACACTGCTTTTATTGTGTTGCGGTTGGTTATGTTCTGGTGACGTGTAGAACTTGGGAGTGCAGGCTGCTGCCTGAGAGGTGGTTGGAGACGGAGTGTCTCCATGCTGCTTTGTTTTGGTCACTTATGTGCGTGAGGCGAGTGGTGTTACGACCCTTCCTGGGGAGTCACGTGGAAAGGGTTATATTTACCTAAATATTACCTTATCATATCTTGATGTTATTAGTCCCTATTTCTGTGGTTAATTGACAATAGTTTCTTGAAATGTTTCTCCTATTTTAACTGTAAATCCTTCTAGCTGTTATATTTATAACAAGAAACAGATATTCGGACAGAATATTTTCATGTTTATTCGACTATGATTGTGGAACACACCCAGCATCATAATAAATGAAGTAATATTTATGCCAATTTAAGCCTTTACACGCGACCAGGACACTGATCAATTTTTGGCAAGGGAAATGATCATTTGTTGCCATTTTTGAGGTGTTTATGAATGTGAAAGACACCCAGCATCCTGTGATGGCACTAATAACATCAAGAGATAAGGTAATATTTAGGTAAATTTAACCCTTTACAGGTGACCAGGACTCTGTGATCAATTTTTGGCAAGGGAAATTATCTTTTTTGTGCCATTTTTGGGGTGTTTAGGATGATACAGTAGGCAGTATGAGTACAACAACATCAACAGATAATACATAAAAACCTTATTTTGTCAATTTTAGCCTCCATGAAAATCTGAGTGATTCAATCACTTTTTGGCAAGTAAAATGCCATTTTAGTTGTCTACAATTAAATCATCTATAAACAATTTAAAGATATTTTGAGGCGTTTCTTATAGGTAAACAGGAGGGTGTAGTCTCTATTTGGCAAGTGACAATCTTAATTTTATGTGCTGAAGTGCTTTTATCTTGTTACTTTTAAATAGAGCAAAGTAATGTATAGATAGTAACCTACACAGTGTCATTAAAGCCAAAGCTTGATCAGTTTAAATACTATTTTTCATGTAAAAATGTGCCCCAAACTAGTTAACTGTGGCTCCATGTCAAGTGGACTAAAGAAAGGAAGTGGGGATAAATCAAATCGCTGGAGAATTGTTTATTTCCATTTATACAACGTTTACATTCAATACAGGGCGCCATTTTACATTGTTTATATTTTTTAGTATCAAGGCTGTAACATAAAGAAAGCCAGCTCTTACCACAAACCATCTTTCAATCGCAAATATTGCAAAAAGGATTAATATATGCTCATTGTGAACGTTTAAGACAAATAACACTTAAAACTGTCATGGTGGGCTGAAGTCTCTTAACCCACATGAGAGAATCACACACGGATAAGGTGAGTGATGATATAAAAGTCTTTATTATTAAGAAAAACAAGAAACCAAAGAATAAGAGCGCAGATCCAAAGGGACGACTCCGACTATAAGAAAAAAACACAATGGTGTGAGTGGCAGAAACCGAGAACCAGGAAAGTATAAGATAAGAGGAACGGTCTTACTGAGTTGAGCAGGGTATGAGCTGGAGGGAGAGGCAAGTCAGGCTGATGCAGGGGTGGAGGTTGTCGCAGGAGAACGGTTAGATCCAGAAAGGCAGGTGAGCGGTGGAGAGCGGAGGCCAGGGAATCGAACAGCGCCGAGATGAAAAAAAACACACACTTCAGGCAGGCGGAGAGTTTCCAGGACTGGGGCAGACAAAAACGCAGATCAGGTTGAGCAGACAAACTAGTTTTCAGGTCTCTCTGATTTAGGACAGGATTTACCCAACAATTGAGTATCAGCCAGCGTTGAAGTGTGGGAGCGCTGTTCCTTAAATCCTCTGGCCAAGCTGGAGTTAATTGGCTTCAGCTGCAGCTCCCCAACACACTCACCTGCAAACAATGAATGACAAAACACAGCAGAAGACAGCAGAACCATGACAAAAACAACTTCCGAACTGGAAAAACTAATGTGGCAAAGTGGGGAAACGAGGGCCCGGGCGGGATTCGATTCCCAGACTCCCGGGTGAGAGTCATACACTCTAACCAGTCAGCCAAAAGGACATCCCCTTGGCCAAGTAGCCAGGGCGCATGATCAATCGGGACATTGTGACAGGACGCTCACACTGCCACATCTTCCCCCCTCTTTCCACAAGCACGTCCTCGTGCTCCCGCGCAGGGTGCCACAAACACTGCCACACTAATATCTGCGATAAACATCTGTTTAAGTACCGGAAGAGGTTATCTTTGCTTTCTGAATGTCCATATTGCTAGATATGCTGAGTTTTAGGGCGAAATCCCGGGGAATTTTGTCTAGAAATGCAATTACCTAACAGTGCGCGATCCCGCGGTGGCTAATCATTTTTTGGCAGCGAGTCGATTTATGGCACAACACCGGCTCGGGTTTCTCCTCCTCCTCCCTCTTTTCTTCTCCAACCTGTCGCTGGGCTGAGGCTCCATCACTTCCTAAATTGATTTTACTTGAACCTTCACTACCAAACAACTGTGAGATTTTAACACATGTGCCAGCATCAGCCTGAAGGGCCAGTTTCTTTTTTAGTCGAATTTTCTCCGCTCCTCCTTTCCGTTTTTTGTTCTCCATTTTGTAAAGCTCACCTGTCTGTTTACTGAGATTCACAAACAACTGGCGGGTGCATCAGACCTCTGGCTATTGGTCCAGCCCAGAGTGTATTATTACCAATTGGCCAATCCACCAACTTTTACGAGGCGTCGCGTGGGGCGGCGCGGACAAGTTGTCCGCAACAACTAGAGGCCAGAAAAAAAAAAAAAAAAAACCAGACACCGGCCCATAAAAGATGAAAGGGTCGGCCCAGCAGGCAGTTGCCCGCTATGCCCTATGGTCAGTCCAGCGCTGCCCCCAGCAGGTCCCTGAGGTCCAGTGATCAGTCTACTGGTTGTGCAGCACCAGGCTAAAGACCAAAGGTCATTTCCCTCAGTTTTTCTCCTTTTCTAGTTCAATGTCACTTTCGTGAAGCACATTTGTATTCCTGGACTTATTTTCACACAAAACTTAAAATATAGTTTCCCCCTGTTCGAAAATAAGAGGTTTCTTAGTACCAAAATGCATCTTTAAAATTCACAAACATCATATGTGAAATCCATGGCACATAACAAGTGCAATTAGAACATTGTGTCACACCCTGCCAAGAGCCCAGCTCTATTGTTTCCTGTTTTCTTTTTACATCCTCCTCGGTGCCACTTCCTGTCCTTCGTTAACCTGATTCCCAGCTGTTTACTTGTATTTAACCTCTCTCTGTTCTCCTTTCAGTTGCCAGTGCGTTGTTGTCTTCTAGCACTTCGTTCCAGCCGTGGTTAGTGTTTGCACTCAGTGTCTTTGACTTAGTTTTGTTTCACTCGTCTCTGCCCTTTTGCCAGTTTATTTGAAATTGCTTGTTGGGACTTTTTACTTGCTTTTGACCTCAGCCTTAATAAAGGACATTTGCTTTTGACCTCCCCATTTTCGAGCCTTGCATTTGGGTCCAGCTCCTGTTACCTGACAAATTGTGTTTTTGGCCCCATTGACTTGACATTTTTTCTTTTTTCCGTGGACCCATGGTCCAAAAGTAGATTGGTGTGACTTAAGCTCCCCATTTGGAAGCAAAACCTTATCATTCATGTCTATGGAAATTAAATGTCCAGTATATATGTCGATGGTTCTGACCAGATTCATGAGCTAACAGATCATCTGATCTGGGTCAAGATGTGGATTATTGCTATTCTACAGGGTGTCCGCGGGCTTTTAAAAAGTATTAAAAAGTGATAAATAAAAATAGTCAAATTTAAGGCCATTAAAAGTGTTAAATTTGGTCTCAGAGGTATTATTTTTTCCAAATTAGGTATTATTTTTTTCAGACTATCAGATGTCGTATTCTGAACATCGACATAGAAATATATTCCGAATGAAATGTTTTGAACGATTATAAAAACAAAACAAGCCGATTATTTGCTCCTCCCACTTGCGCTGCCTTGAGTTGCAAATGAAGCGCTCCTCACAGTGTTGCCAACTTTGACGCTATTTCTAACAGCTTCTCAGACCCCCTTCTTGACTTTTAAAATCTTAAAAGTACCTAGCGAACACCTCAGAAACATCTCTGGTAACCCTTAGCTACTTTCTGGATAACTGTCATCGACATTCCTGCAGGTTAGCTAAACACTCCGCCTGCGCTCCCGACCGTTCTTCAGGACATTAGGAAAGGGAATGATGTAGTGATGTGTCAGTCGCTAAAGACAGCTCTCGGAGCCGGCTCCTTGTTGGAGTAACTACAGTGAGTGACACACACACCGCACCTGCGGACTCCTGAGCCGCTAAAAACAGCTAAATGGGTTGGGGGGTGGGGGGTGCAGCTGTGGTTGGGACATTTATTACATTAACTGATGGACCTGTAAATAAATAGTTTATAAATAAGGTAGAAATAAGTTCCTCACGCTGATAACTAATAACTAATCTCTCTGAGGACACGGTGCTAGTGCACTCTCCTACAGCACCTTGACATGACCCAATAAATGTTATGCAACATTTAGTGAACAGCAATTTGCATGTATTTGTTATAAATGCCACTGTATAATTCTTGCTGTCAGTATTTGCAAGATATTGGTATTTGGGTCTGTACTGGTTAGACTTAAATGAGTTAAACCAAGGTCTATAGCCCTTGGGTCATAAACTATGAGCTATAAGTATATTGGTCTTTTTATACTGGGAATCAGGAGTTATTTTAGTGATCATCTTGTTTCTTGTTTATTTTTGCCCTGATATTGCCCTGAGCAGTTTTATGACTGAATAAAAAAAAATAAATAAAAATCTACATAAATTGAAAAATCGTCTTAAATAATCGAGATCTCAATTTCAGTCACAATAATCGTGATTATTGTTTTTGCCATAATCGAGCAGCCCTGCTTAAGCATATCCGGTCACATAATGATGACGTCATATTCAGTTTTCGTTCTGCATCATTTCAGGCCTCGTGGTCAACTGAACCGCTGAACAGAAGTGCCTGGCTTATTTTCTAAGTAAAATAAATATGTGCAATACATTGTCAACATCAGTGAGTCTCTAAGTCTATTCTTTTTGTATGTTATATATGTTCAAATATGTGTAAATAGGTCGCTGATTAACACTTGCAATTTAGTGTTGTGATGGTTTTAAAAAAATTCTGAAGGTAGTAAAAAAAGTATTAAAAAGTAGTAAATTTTACTTAAGGATTGCTGTATATACCCTGTTCTAAAAAGGGCTTTTTCTCAGTATCCTTTATTCAAACTTTTGTATTATTTTCCCTTTTACGTTACACAATATCCACCTATAGGAGACTTTAGTTGTTTAGAATTTTGGGACGTTTCTATAAAATATAATTTGTGATGTAATCTGATTCATAGCACAAAGTTCCTGTAAGTTTTAAAGACTTCACAGGAGCTCACATGAAAATGTTAAGACCAAGTCATTTTAATACAGCAATAATCCACTTTTATCTTTTAGTTTTATCAGTCAGAGCTAATCCTTGTGTCTGTTGTTGATGGTATCTAAATATCCTGTAGTCGGCAGGTGAGAGGTGGGGGAAACCCTGGACAGGTTTCACACTCAAAGGCTAACAACAGTTCACCCATCATTCATAGGCATGGACATTGTTGACCCCTGCACTTTTTACCTTCCAAAAACAATATTGTGCTATATTAAATAGGCACTGGTTGAGCACCTGGACCAAGTGGTAAACAGCTGTTTGTGTTGAAGCCTGGTTCCCATTAGAACCTACTGTAAAGATCCCTGGTGTTTCAGACAGAAAGCAGACCTAATTGTCTGTATTGATAGTTGCCTGGCCAATATGACACTAAGTCCGAATCTGACTACCCAACAATTCAAATGTGACAATGTTCACATGATGCAGCTCTTTGTAATATCCAGATTTAGAATATAAGAGGTTGTATCTTAAATACTTTGGGTTTGCTGCAGCTGGAAATTTCAGTTCTTTAACTTTAAAAAGTGTTCAGTTGTGCTTCAAATCAGTCTTAACAACTAAAAGTACTTAGAATTCAGTTTAGCAGAAGGAACAATTAGATTTAATTGCAGGTCTAGAGGAATAATACCACATATAAAACTGGCTGTGGAGCATTTATGCTACCCCATCTAGTGGACAACCTTTCCTTTGCGTGCACAGGTAGTTATTGTTCGTTTATCTTAATAGGCTTGAACCCCTACCATGATTTTTAAGGCCATATCGCCCAGCCCCAGCTTAACGATGCAGAAAAATGAGACAGAACTACCTGAACAGTTTGCTGCCTCCTGACTGTTGCTGCTTTCCATTTACTTGTTTTTTAAAGTGATAATTGTTTATACATGTTTTGAATAAAGAAATAAATGGGATTTGTGTCAGGGCGCTGATCACAAATATAAAAGTGGTTCATTTCAAATATAAATTAAGGAATATTTAAATATTGTAACTTGCTTTGTTTCTCATCTTGAACAAACCAGTAAATATTATCTGGCACACCACCGATTGTTCAAAACCTTTAATCTACTTCATAGCATCTGAACCACTTTAAGAGCAGCAGCAAAGAAATACGTGATCCTGTTTTAACAGCTTCATAATGGCTGCTTCTCCTTTTCCTGCAGGTTCTAACCTGCTGTTTTCTCTGTCTTCCTGCAGATCTTCCTCTCTCTGATGTTTTCATATCACTTCCCAGACCATCTGTTATTTTAGGATGCTTGGCCCAGTCTTCCACCACGCTGCCCTGTGGCAACAAACCTGAGCTCTTCTGTGGAGAGAGAACTTCCTGCACACAAAAACGTGCAAAAACACCCTAGAAAGCAGGATTTGGCATGTATTTTTTTTTTTCAGAATGATGGTTCCCATCTGGGTCCTGAAATATAAAAATTTGCTTCAGGGTCAGTTTGGGATTTTCAGCATCACAGGACTGCATCTCTGTCTCTGGAACAGAGATGAAATCCATCTGGAGTAAAAACTGATTGTTGCTGCTCATGCTCACAAACTTGAAAACTGTAAAAAAATTCAGAAGCAAGAAGCACAGAGACAAGACATCCTTTTTAAAGGAAAAGGGAGTATGTTTCGGCTGTCTGAGTTTTGGACACATCAGTCGTAATTGTACGAAACGTTTGAACTGTGAGACATGTGGACAACAGCATCCTTCTGTGCTTCACATAGCTAAAACTGATCACTCATCATCACCTATCAAACTTGTATCAACTCCCACACAGACTGTGGTGATACAGGGGCCGGAAAAGGTGACTGTTTGTTGTCTATTGTTCCAGTGCAAGTTAGTAAATCCATTAAAGGAAATAAAGTTGTCCAAACATATGCATTCCTTGACCCTGGCAGTTTGGCTACATTTTGCACAGAACAACTCATGCAAAAATTACAAATCAATGGAAAAAAGACCCAGTTTCTTCGTACAACAATGGGACAGGAAAAGGTTGTTCCAGCCTATTTATGGCATGGACTAGAGATAGCAGGTCGTAGTGACAGTACTTTTCCTCTGTTACCTGAAGTTCTGACACAGAAACATATGCCAGTCTCAAAGGCTAACAATGCAACCAATGCAGATCTACAAAGATGGTCTTACTCGTCTAAGATTGACATTCCTGACACAAATGCTACTGTTGATTTGTTGATAGGAACCAACGCACCCAAGCTATTGGAGCCATGGGAAGTTATCAACAGTGAAGCTGATGGTCCATACCCTATAAGAAAAGTATTGGGATGGATAATCAATGGTCATCTGCATGGTAATGACAATACCAAAGCAGTAGTGAACAGGATTTCTGTGGCAAACTTGGAGCTAATGCTACAAAATCACTACAATCAGGACTTCAATAGAAAAACCCAACATCAGACAAAACAATGTCAAGGAAAGATCTGAAATTCATGGCGATTATGGACTCTACAACAGTTTTGCAAAATAACAGATATGTTCTCAACTTACCCCTCAGAAATCCAAAGGTTACCTTGCCAAACAACTATTCAGTGGCAAAATAGAGGATTTTTGCTCTGAGGAAGAAATTTCTGAAGAACGCACAGTTTCACCAACAATAAATGATAAATGACCCACACTTGTATAGCGCCTCTCAGAGTAAGGACTCCAAAGCGCTTTACACTACAGTGTATCATTCATCCATTCACACACACATTCACACACTGATGGTGATGAGCTATGATGTAGCCACAGCTGCCCTGGGGCGCACTGACAGAGGCGAGGCTGCCGAGCACAGGCGCCGCCGGTCCCTCCGACCACCACCAGCAGGCAAGGTGGGTTAAGTGTCTCGCCCAAGGACACAACAGCTGAATTCTCTGTCCGGAGCCGGGATCGAACCTGCAACCTTCCAATTACTGGACAACCCACTCAACCTGTTGAGCTACTGCTGCCCCAATATGGAAAGTTCCTTGAGAATGTAATTACTCAAGGTTATGCAGAAAAGGTCCCTGACTCGGAAATGGAGGGTAAGACAGGGAACGTGTGGTACATTCCACACGATGATGTCCACCATCCCAAAAAGGGATCTTTGCGGGTGGTTTTTGATTGTGGTGCCACATTTAAAGGAAGATCATTAAATGCAGAGTTGTTGCAGGGTCCCAATCTCACCAGCTCTCTGCTTGGAGTTCTTTTCGATTCAGGCAGAAGCCAGTGGCCTGTATGGGTGACATTCAGGCTATGTTTCATCAGGTGAAGATTGCAGAGTCACACAAAGATATTTTGCGTTTCCTCTGGTGGAAAGATGGAGGCTGCCAGAAAGAAATTCAAAACTTCAGGATGACTGTCCATTTGTTTGGTGCAGCATCATCACCTAGTTGTGCAAGTTATGCTCTAAGGAAAACTGCTGACGACAACCAGGAAGATTTTACAGAAGTGTGTGTTTTCACTAATTAGCTTATTTCTCAAAATAAGGTTTCTAGTGCATTATCAATGTCATTCAAAACAAAACATTTCTCCTGTAACAAAGCTCATTTACTAACAACAGAATTCAGCTTCCATTAATTTTATAATAAATTAAGGGAACTGTACATTGTTTTTAAAATCAGCTCAGAGGAAATTAAGCAATTAACATCCCTCATCCTAGAGATGAGAAACCAGTCTCAAATGCGAACGGCTGAGCTGAGGGACATGTCTACTCAGCTCTCCAAACTGCATCAGGAAGTAACAGAAATCCAGGTTAAAATAAGCGGTCTACAGAGAAAACGGATGATGACTCCATCCTCTGCGGATCTCCCACCAGATAAACAAGAATCAAAATGTTCTGATGTTTTACTTGGCTCTGACTTAAAGCAAACACTCTCATCCCTGACTAACAAGCCTGACAATTTCACAACACGGTGATGTTATACCAGATGTAAAGCTCTCTGATATTGATCTGCTTCCAGAAATCCAAACCCGGCAAACAGAGGAGTCTCTCCATTAGTGATGGGAATTCCGGCTCTTTTTAGAGAGCTGGTTCTTTTGGCTCAGCTCACCAGAAAGAGCCGGCTCTTTCGGCTCCCAAGTGGCTCCTCAGATTTTCTGTTGCAGTACATTTATAACCAAAATAATGCAAAACTATATGTAAAATGATTTACTAATGTAAAAATTATGCAATATATCAAATATTTATCATTTCTATGGATTTCATAACTGAACACTTTAAGAAATCTCCACTTTCCGACTGCTGGCGCTCATTTTCTCACCGTCTTTGTCGCACTCTCCTCTCTCTCTCGCTTGCCTTTTTCTTCCTCCTCATTCCCTCTCCTCTCCCTCCACCCGCGTGTGCTCTGCTGTGTGTCTGAGTCTGATCCTCCCTCTTCCCCGCCCCTACTGCTCTGTGTGTGGACAGTCTGGACACGCAGTCACACATGTTGACCAATTGCCTGCAGCTTTCACCAAAGCAAGAGGGGAGGGAGGAGGGGACGGCTCCCAATGACGAGCCGGCTCCCGTCGTTCACTTCAAAGAGCCGGCTCTTAGAGCCGGTTCGTTCGCGACCGACACATCACTACTCTCCATCAGGAAACAGAACCTGTTCCTGCTACACTGATGACCGTGTCATCCACAACGGACGACATATTGGTCCACCCCGTCGTCAGGTCTCCCATAAGGTTCTTGGGACACCTAGTGCCCCAGGAGAAAACTGATAAATCTCTGGTGTCAGTCAAGCTGACCCAGAATCTATTCTGCGACGCACTTCTTGACACAGGTTCAAACTTTACACGGGTAACCCGAGCCATATTCGATCGCATCTGCATTTCCTGTGTGTGTGTGTGTGTGTGGGGGGGGGGGGGGGGGGTCAGGCCCCCAGAACTTGTTCCATGTTCTGTAACTCACAGGACTTCCTCTCATGACTTAATCTTGTCTTCTAGGTTCGATCTCCAAATATCGATCGGGTCCATGACTCTGACACACCCCGTTTACATCTCCGACCATGCAAGGATGGACTTTTTGAGGCGCATTGATGCTTTCATTGATGAAAAACAGGGAGAGCTCTGGTCAGAGGTTGGTATACCTTTGCCCGCGGTCCTACCTCCAGACCTCCACTTTCTCACGGTTGGTAACTCTGAGCAGGTGGGAACACCATGTTCGCCACCTGGTTCAGAACTTTTGCCACCACAGATTCAGCTTCCATCACAGTCACAATCTGTTGATGTCTCTAACATAGCTGAAGCTCCTACCTCAGTAGTTGACCGAGACAAACAACAACTTGTGTTAAGTTATCCTGATGGCAATTCTCATTCCACCATGTGGACAGGTGAACACCTCACCAGCTACATGGATGGCTAGAATCTCAGCTTTGACACTCGACTTTCGCCAGAGAACTTCCTCAACGGCCATTTCAATGCTTGTACAGACCAGCTTGCCTCTCGGGGTGAGAAGGTGGACACATCATGGGCCCTGAAACCCTTGTGGCCCCCTGATGACTCCATCTTAAAACCATCTGAAGGGTTTGTGTCTGTTCAACTTGGCTTTTCTGTAAATTACCTTGTGTCTGGTTCGTTGGCAGATCTGAAGCGTGACTGAGAGTTTCTGTTGCCCAGACGCGGAGTGACGGAGATAACCGGCGTGGTTATCTCCTGAAGGTGTAGTTTGGAAGGTTTTGGGGGCTGGTAAGCCTGGAGACTCGATACAAAGTCTGGTGAGAACGATGACTGAGCAATGAATGAAACACCGGCACTTCCTTAAGTAGTGTCGGCGTGATGACGTCAGCCGCCATGTTGGTGGCAGGAATGATTGGAATGCAGTCAGCGGGAGGAGTTCATGACACCTTGTCAGTCTTCAGCTCCAGCGTCCTGTTGTCAGCGGGATGATCTTGAACCCTTTTGACCCAAAAGCGTTTCAACATCTTTCACAGGGTTTTGATTCCGTTCCAGAGCTGTGTGCTCTATCTTGTGCTCGTGTCATCTATCTTTCAGGTGTTGTTGGCCGCTTGTGCTTCGGACTGATGGGAGAAACCAGTACATCTAAGATCAGTGATGCCCACAGAGCCTCTGTGGCCCATGCAGCTAAGATCCAGCTGGAGTCGGGAGACCCTCCCGATCCAGGGGGAGCTGATGCTGGCAGGGACGCTCCACCGATGACTCCACACCCTGTCACAGGGAGAGTTGATGGTGGCACAGAGACTCCAGCCAAAGCCCAGCACTCTCAGGTGGGATCTTCACCTACCGAGAAGGGCGCCGACGCACTCACTGGCCTTACTCCACTACAGCAGGTGACGATGACCTCTAAACTTCAGGTGGGTGGAATACCTACCAAAAGGGGGGTCAGATGTCGCCCTGTAAATCTGCTGGTGGACCCTGATCTCTCTGAAAGCATCCGCGTGTCAACCGGGGACCTTGCCGGAAGCACATCTGCTCCGGATCCTTGTAAGCCTGCACACTTCACTTATATAAGTAAAGCTGTCAGTTGGAACACACCCTCCGGTCACCCTTCTTAAAGATGGGAACCACCACCCCGGTCAACCACTCCACAGGAAATGCCCCCAATGACCACGTGTTGCAGAGACGTGTCAACCACGACAGCCCTACCACATCCATAACCTTGAGATACCCAGGACAAATCTCATCCACCCCCGGGGCTCCGCCCCTGTGTAGTTATTTGACTACCTCAGCAACTTCTGCCCCCGAGATTGGACAGTCCATCCCCAGGTCTCCCGGCTCTGGCTCCTCGTCAGAATGTGCGTAGGTGGGACTGAGGAGCTCCTCAAAGTATTCCTTCCACCGCCCGACTATAGCCCCAGTTGACATCAGCAGCTCCCCATCCCCAATGTAAACAGTGTGAGCGAGTTGCTGCCTCCCTCTCCTGAGGCGCCGGACAGTTTGCCAGAAGCTCTTTGGCGCTGATCGATAGTCT